TAAAAATAATTTTTACATAAATTGTTATGTAACTTTAAATAATTTTTGTATTTTCTATATAAAACATTCAAGTTAATTTTATTAAAAAATTAAAAATAATATTTACATATATTGTTTTATAACTTTACATAATTTTTTGTATTTTGTTTATAAAACAACGAAGTTATTTTGATATATTCAACTATATCAACAGGACTTTTTAATTTTTAGATATATTTTGATGTTGCAATCAAAGTTTGCTATAATTACAGCAAAGTTTTCAAGTGAACATGAAATATATTAAGCTTCTTTCTACAAATATTTAAGAGTAGATATTTCAACCTCATGTTAATTCAAATTATGTTAACACTCCTTATCTAAATATATGAATTATCTTAGATTTATTGATAAACCACTGATAAATAAATAGAAAAAATAAATGATTTATTTGATCAAATAAATAAAGATAATAAAAAGAATTAAATTGGAACAATATGAATATTTTCATATATCTAAAAAGTCTACTTTTAATGTTCTGTTGTGTTACAATCTTATTTCTTAAAACTTAAACGATAGATATTCCATTATTTGTTCCAGTTAAAATCAACTCTTATGGCAATAATGATTTAGATTATAAATTTTATTAGTTCCACTACAATTATTGCATTTATTTATTTCACTATGAATCTTTTTATTATTTGATGGACATTTTTAATAAATATGGATTTGAACTAATTAATTTGATTTATTGACTGTAACTGTTTCACTTCAAATAGTACTGAAGAGTTTGTTACCTTCAAAAATTGTACTTGAAATGATGGTTTTTAATAAGAATTATGATCAAATAATTTGCTAACTCTAACAGTGAAACATTCCATAGAGACAGCTATTAAATCAAGAGTTAATTTCAGCCAATATGGTTTGATTGTATTTGGTGGATAACCACTATATGACCCTTTAGTAATTAAGCAAAATATATTACATGTTGCTGTTTAATAATAAATCTGATCAGCTGTTGTAAGAGTGTCAATAAGAAATCTAAAAGCATATGAACTTCCAGCTGACATTCTACTTAATTGGATAATAAAGTAACTATCAGCTTAAATAGGGAAGACTTATGTTGAGTAAAAACCTGTAGCTACTCTGTAAGGTAATTATGTCAGAATTTCTTCAGGTATCAGTGCAGTTTAATAACCAAGATGAATCAAATTAGCATTGGCATTACTAATACCTATAGTAATATGTGTAGATGTCAATTCAGTAATCTATTATAATATCAATGATTTACAGTTAAAGAAACATCAAATCCTCCTTTGTATCCAAAACTAATTACAGAAGCAATTGCTTTATTTGCATTTGGATTCTTAATTGGATATTATTTTGAAGCTATTGGATCTGCATTTGCCTCAGTGATAACTTATATGCGTTCATCATCAATTGCAAACCATTGAAATCGATAATAATTCATCTAATTTCCTGTACATGTTATTTTTAATGTAAAACCTATATGATATCATATATTTACCTGTTAAACTTATACTTTAAAACTCAATGATCGATTATAAATAAAGGCTTGCAGTTCCAAAATCAAAAACTATTGGATTCAATATTACTTAAGGTATATTAGCAAAAAGGGCTGGAAAATGTTACTGATTTTATTTTTGAATATCCTGTGCCACAACTAAATGGCTGAGTATCTACTTGATTTTAATCAAAACTGATTAATCCTTGAGAGACTGAAATTAAAATAAAGTTCAATATCCTATTTATTTAATTGATCTAGTACGTTCTTTTTATCTATTAATTGAGCAGCAAAATTATCGTTAAAAACAATTTTTATAAATTTCTATATAGAATAAAGCTTAGGATTTCATTTTTTGACTTATCAAAACAGAAATAAAAAAATGTTTTAAACATCAATAAATGCAATTAATATATTATAATTAATTTTTACAATTTTTATCAATAAAATATATTCCTTTATTTTAATTTATAATTTTTATTATAACAGCTATTTATAAGTTGAAGTTTAAAATTCTACAATAATTTAATACAAAACAACCAAAATTTAAAAATATGATGCCAAATAAAAAATATAATTCAATCAAAAATCTTTATTATTTTTATCATATGTACTAATGTTTTATATTGTCTCAGATGATATTAGAAATTTACTAATTTGAAAATTTTAATTATTTTGGGTAAATTTATATTTAAAATAATTCTAAATGGCCTTATTTCACATTAAACTCTTTAATATTAACTTTATTTTAATTATGTATTTTTCTACCAACAATTCATTTTACAGTTTATTAAATATTTTATAAAACGATAATTATATTATAATAAATATAAGAAATAATGAATTTCAATATATTAATATCTCCTGTTTTGAAAATAATTCTTTTTTTCTAAAGTAGAAGAAGACAAATTCACTTATATATCTATTAAGAATTATATAAATAAATTCAAAACAACTTAAGATATAAAAGATATATAGAAATGATTGACTTTATGTTAAATTGAATAATAATATTACACAAACTTAAATTATTATTGAATATAGAAACCTAAAAAAACAATTATTAGAAGGTTAAATAAATATGTTCTATAAAGATAATGCATTTATTAAATAAGGATTAATAATTTGATTTATTATTTTGATATTATTCATTAGCGAATAAAGTTATGATCGCATTTTTAATTTTTAAATTAAAGACTAAACTACACATAAAAGTTGATTTTAAATAATAACATCAGATGAGTCTAAATGACTTAAAGTTGAAGATTTATATTCATAGAAAATTAAGGAGAAAAAAAATTAATTTTAATATTTAAAATATATCCAAAGAAAAGAAGACCTAATACTAAAATAGATTAGAATGAATTTATAATGTGAAAAAAGAAAAATTAAAATTTATCAAGAAATTTAATTCTATTAGCTTTGTGGATCAAAAAAGCAAAAAAAGAACAAATTATACTTAGCTCAGGCTCACTTATAAATTTTAAAATAAAGAGCTTAATTGTTTCAGATAAAAACACACAATCAGAAAGTATTTTTATTATAATGATAGAGAAAAAAATCCAATGCATATAATTTTATTAGGTTAATAGACATCAAAATGTAATGGATACACTTATGGAGGCGGATATTATAACATATAAGAAAAAGAGTAATCAATTAAGAATTATGAGAGGTTTGAGTTGAGGAAGAATTTTTGGAATTATATCTAAATTACCGATAGTAAAATTATAAAGTAAATAAGTAAACGTAAATATTTACTAGTATGATTAATATCATTGTGTCGATATGATAATTATTCAGGTTAGAAAGTAGAAAGATGGGTAGAATAATGAGAAAGCTTTAGTAGAAATCGTTAAATCACTTTTAGTGCGGTGTATTTAATGAGAAGGTCGAGAAAATAGGTAAATATGATAGTTTGAATAAGAATAGTTAAATTATAGGAATCAAGAAGTTTAAATTCTATCTTAATAAACAATCTTAATAATAATAAAAGAAATTTGCTTAATTTGTTCAGTTCAAATCAAAATTCTGAATTTTTAGATTAAAATAACAATTTGATCAAATCTTATTTTAAAATACAAGGATAAATATCATCATAAATATAAGAATTATTGCTGATTCATTTGATAATTTTTTTTCTGTTCTTAGAAAAATATGATAAAAAAGAAACTTTCTGTCTAAAAATACGTCTTCTTGCATTTTAAATCTAATTAAGCAAATTTATTTCAAGATTTACTATTTTGCTCATTTTTCAGATTTTTAATAAAGTTCTTGTTTTTTAACATTATATTCTTTATATTATATGGTTTTTACCCTTATTTTAATAAAGCTTAAATTAAAAAATGTACCAAATTTTATTTTTTTGTTATAAATTTTCAAGCAGTATTCTGTATTTATGAATTGATTCTTTTTCAGATAGTCAATCTTTCATTTTAAAAAAGTTATGGATAAAGTTTTAGTAATTTTTATTTATTATCTTAGAATAATTAAATTAAAATTTTAACTAATAGTATAATTATTAAATCCATAGAATTTTCCATTTTAAATAAATTTGATTAATAGATAACATAATCCTAAACTGTGATTCCTGAAATTTAGTTATCCTTAAAAACACAATATCTTTAATAAATGAGCAACTTTATCAATATTAATTATTAATAAGAGATCTATATAAAAAATTAAATTGAAAATATATAAGTTTTTCATTATTGATTTTCTTAAAGTTAATTATTTAATGAAATTTGAACTTGAGAAATTCTTAGAAAATTTTTCTAAAATGTTAGTTTTGCTAGGAAATAGTATTTAAGGATTATGGTGGATATATTCGGCTGCATTTTCAAGAGAATCAATAAATTATAGGTTTTTAATTTTTTCTTCAGCAAGTCTAATTATGAGGATGTTTTAGTATTTTTTAATTGAAAGAATCTAAAAAATGAATGTAGCTTTACACATATGGTCCCTTATATTTTATGTAGTTTCTTTAGAGTCTCTAATTTTATCAGATAATTAAAGTTCATTAACTATTTTATCTAATAGTTTAATAATTGCTATAGCCTATTTAGATTATATAAAAACTGCAGTGTAGAAATAAAGTTCAATATGTATCATAGGATTGCCTTTTTATTTTTTGTTAAATAATATACTTCAAATTGCAAATTTAACAAGTTTAGACTCATTAGAAAGCATTATTATAATATTTGTTGTTTTAATAAACTAAATAATTAAATATTAACTTTAATATAATTTAAATACTTAAAATAATCACATAGAATAGTAAATAATAAAAAAATAAGATAATCAAGCTTCGCCAATATTTGAAAACTGTTCAATGCATTCTTAAGCAAAATCATAATAAAGAAATTCAATTATTAATACTCCTAAATAATGTTTTACTACTTTATTAAAAGATCTTCCAAATGAAGAAAAATTGAAATAATATTCTAATATAACAAGTTTCTCAAAATCATTAAAATTTTATAAAAGTTTGGGAAGCTCTGATCATTCAAAATTGTATTTATATTAAAGTCTGATAAATTTGTTTCCATCTGGAATAATGATATTAAATTAGGCTTAATAAGTAAGTTATATAAATAATAAATGTGAAAAAATATTGGAGTGTTATGGAATGTAGGCAGTGTTAGAGAAAGTAAAATCGTGTGTAAATGATGCAAAGTTACCAGATAGTGATGGTGAATAAACAAAGAAATAATAATAAAATCAATCTCATTATAGAATTTTATCATAAATAGTAAAGAAACTTTAAGAAAAAGAACTTCCTATAGATATATTAGATATAATACTTTCACCTTAAAAATATTTTGCTATGTTAGATTAATAGTAGTGTGATATAAAGAAAAGTAAGTATTCACATTAATCATTTCAATAGCAGATTTTTATTTATGAATGGCTTATGAAATCTTAGATTAAACATAAAAATTCGTAAAAGAAATTAAAATTAATTATCATACCGACTTCAATGACTAATTAATAATAAGATTACTTCTCAGCACCTTCTTAAGATAAATCTTCAAGTCATTTCTCATTTAGTAATGATTAAGAGAGTTCTGTTTTACTTATAATTATTAAAAATATTACTCATAAATACAAATGCTAATAATTAAAAGATGAATAAATTATTCATCATAGTCTTATTAAATCCTTTTCTCATGAATTGAGAACTCCATTGAATAGTTGTTAATAGATGTTGAATTTGATGAAAATTTAAGATTCCTCTGATAACTTTCAGGAATATATAGATATTGCTTAATGCTCGATTTCTTTATTAATTCATTAAATAAACGATATTTTAGATTATGCTTCAATTTAATCAGATTAATTTTCATATCATATTACTATCTTCACTCTTAATGAAATATGTGATGAAATTGAACATTTATATAAATTATAAATGAAACAAAAAAAGATTGAATTTAAAATTCAAATTACAGATACTTTAATTGGTAAAGTAGTTTAAAATGATAAGCAGAGAATTATATAATTATTAGTTAATATTTTAAATAATGCAATCAAATTTACATAAGAAGGAGGATGTATTAGTCTAAAAATTATTGAAGGTGATCTATTTAGTGTCATTTTCAAAATAAAAGATAATGGGATTGGAATAGAAGAGAGTAAATTAAGTTAAATTTAAAATAGTATTCATGATACCATAGAATTTGGAGCTGTATTAAAGTCTCATTAAGAATCAAGACAATAAGGTTTGGGTTTAAATATTGCAGCAAAATTGGTTTAGGGTTTAATTCAATCTTAAGATAATCAATTAATTATAAGTTCTAGAAAAAATTAAGGAACTGTTGTTTAGTTTAAAATTTAAAATCTCTTATAAAATAATTTATTATAATCACACTTATTCACTTTATAAAGTGTAAAAAATAATTCATATGTTGATTAATATGAATTTAAAGAAAATAAACTCGATGATAGTAAATTAATTAAATAAAATGATTCTAAAATTTCATTTGAAAGAGAAAATTAAGATTTGAAATCAGAGTCTTATAAATATACACCAAGATTGAATGATTTTGAAGAATAACCAGAAATTTATTTGCCCATTAGTCCTTAATATTTTTCAGATAAATAAATAGAGTATTAAAGACATCTTCTAAATTAATAAGAATCAATTTTCTCTAAAAGATAGAACTCTATTTGCATAAAATGCATTCATGTATTAATTGTTGATGATATACCATTTAATCAAATAGCTTTAAAAATGATTCTTAAAAAATTTAATATTGAGGCTGATTCAGCATTTAATGGATTTTAAGCAATAGAAAAGGTTAAATAAAAATTGACCTAACATTGTTCAACATATAAATTAATATTTATGGATATTGAGATGCCAGGAATCAATGGTTTTCAAACTAGTAAATAGGTATAACTTAATATAATTAGATCCTTGAGTTGATATCAAAAAAGTTGATGATAGTTATTTGTTCAGCATATGACACATAAGAAAATATTTATGAAGGCCAAAAATTAGGAATCACAACCTTTCTTCAAAAACCTGTCAAATAAGATGATTTAGAAGTAGTATTAAAAAAAACTTTTTAAAATGAAACAAGTTGCACATGATCAATATTTTTAATAATTTATAATGTTATAAGCTTCTTTATTATTAAATTCACTTTAATAAATTCTTATTTTAAATTTTATAATTACTGTTTTTTTTTGCCAATTCTAAAATATACAACAGAATAATTTTCTAAATTGCTTCTTACAAGATTTAAGTACATTTAAAAATTTTAATATTTTCAAAATTGAAAATCAACGTAATCTCGATCAAAATCACTACATTATATTATAAATATTTATAATATATAAAAACAATATTATATTTTTAATTTAGTTTCTTCCCAAATTAAGGGAAGCTGTTATAAATATACAACAATCTAAACATGAGTTTTCTACCATTACATTAAATTTAATCTATTGAAAACAAACGTAAGGTTATCAATAATGAATTTTTAATAAGCTCATAATTATTAATCCTCTGCAAAATTATTATATCATTTTATTATATTAATGAAGTATCATTGCTTAATAAAAGATATCAAATAATATTGGATTTAATTAAGCTTGATTATGAACAAATATTTACCCTTTTCTTATATTTCTAAATTTATTTTATTTCATATTTTTTTTTTTATTTAATAATAACATTTAATATTTAAATTTCTATCGAATTTTTCCTCTTCTCTTTTCCATACACTTAATTCTATCTAATTAAATTAATCATCATCTATTATCGCTAATTTGGAAAACTTATAAAATTTTTGTCAATATTTCTATTATTATGATTATAAGAAACATAATTAATGACTATTAGAAGTATTTATTATAAAATTAACCATAAAATTAAGATTATTTTATCATTCAGTAATTGATTAAATTTCGTTTAAATTAAAATAGTATCTAATACTATATTTATTCTATAAAATAATATATTGATGGAAGGGAAACTTCAAAATATGCTAGCAATTTAAATATTTGAAAATCTTTTTTATTCATCCCATTTAGATAATATTCTCTTTTCTTTACAATAACACTTTTAGATTGTTCCTTTATTTTTAACTTTCTAAAAAATTTAATTTTCTAATTATTCCATCAAAATAAAGTACTTGAAGTAATATAGCTGTTCCTCATCAATCTCTTTAACAGGCCATTGTTCCAAACAGATTTCCACTGCATCAGTTTTAAGACATCTGGACTAAAAAAATAAATTAGACTGTATCCTCAATAATTAATAAATTTTTCAATTTCATATTAAACATAAAAAAATCAATAATTTAATATCGATTTTATTTGCGACTTTTCAAGCTCCAATTCTAACGTCAACTATTTAACTTTATATTTGTCATTATTTGAAATTTAATAAGCGTAATCATAATTATTAATTGCTGCTTCAAACTGATTTAAATAGCTTAATGAATCACCTAAGAATAATATAATTATAAACCCATATTAGAAAATGCTTCATCAGACTAAGGGTTGATTTTTATGGCTTCCTGAAAACACTATATAGCTCCATTGTAATCTTTTAAATTTAATAAGGCGAAGCCTAATTTATAACACCTAAGATGAAAGTTAAGTACCTTTGTTGTTATATATATTAGCAGATCTAATTTCATCGTATATTGCTTAATCACAATAAATTCTAGCCTATTAAAATTATGATTTTTTATTTAGAGTAAAAGCTAATTTAAAATAATATAAATACTTATCAAAAGATATGCATCTAAATTATTTTTTTTATTTATTTACAAAGATTATTAACAATTTATTAAAGCTTCATCAGCATATCCTAGCATTATTAATGCCAAAGCTAGATTTAATTATTTATTACCCTTATAATTTAATGCTAGATAGGCAGTAGGATTAACTTTTATTGCATTATCACAAGAAGTAATTGCCTCTAAGAAACAATTCATTTGAATTAAAATTTCACCTTTATAAATAAAAATGTGAACCCTTTATAATAAATGCTTAAGCAGAATTTGGATTTATTTATATTGCTTTTTCACAACAATTTCGCGCTTCTTCATAGAGATTAATTCTATTTAAAGCAAATCCTATTTTATGTATTAATTTTAGATCTACCTTTATTACAATAAGCTAAATATGATTGCGGTTTCATTCTAATAGCAATATCACAAGATTGAATTGCATTTCTATAATCATTAAGATTTAGTAATTAATTGCCTGATTTATTATTTATTTTACTTTTAGCAATATAATATTCCTCTTTTCTAGAATCTAATAAAATTGCTTAATTAAAACATTCTAAAGCCTTTTGATAATGTTAACCAGAAGATAATGTCAATCCTATATATTATTATATGTTTCATACCTTTCTCATATTATTATTTGGCCATTATTTGATTTTTTTCTATTTATTCTTATAGTATATCATTTTAGGCTATTTAAAGAGTTTATGAAAATGAATCTATTTAGCTTAAGAAATCACCTAATTTATGATGATAAATACTGTTTTTCTTTTATTCAACTCCTTGATAATATTTCTTTAAAATATGAATATCCTTTTTAAAATTCTAATAAGATTCTTATTGAAAATAATTTTGCATTTGTTTTAATTTTTCCATCTCTTAAAACGAATAATCTAATTTTTTTTAGGTTATGTATTCTAAATTTTAGATTTTGCTTTTTGTATCTCTTTAGAAATCATTTTGTGAATCTATAGAAGACTATATCAATTATGCTAAATAATTTCTATCTTTGCAATCTTATAAGTGTTGATTGTGTAAATGTGATAAACATTGTTAACAATATTAAGGTTGGCTTGTACATTCAGAATTAAGACAATATCCTTAAATTATCTGGCCATTATGAAAGTNTTAATGCCAAAGCTAGATTTAATTATTTATTACCCTTATAATTTAATGCTAGATAGGCAGTAGGATTAACTTTTATTGCATTATCACAAGAAGTAATTGCCTCTAAGAAACAATTCATTTGAATTAAAATTTCACCTTTATAAATAAAAATGTGAACCCTTTATAATAAATGCTTAAGCAGAATTTGGATTTATTTATATTGCTTTTTCACAACAATTTCGCGCTTCTTCATAGAGATTAATTCTATTTAAAGCAAATCCTATTTTATGTATTAATTTTAGATCTACCTTTATTACAATAAGCTAAATATGATTGCGGTTTCATTCTAATAGCAATATCACAAGATTGAATTGCATTTCTATAATCATTAAGATTTAGTAATTAATTGCCTGATTTATTATTTATTTTACTTTTAGCAATATAATATTCCTCTTTTCTAGAATCTAATAAAATTGCTTAATTAAAACATTCTAAAGCCTTTTGATAATGTTAACCAGAAGATAATGTCAATCCTATATATTATTATATGTTTCATACCTTTCTCATATTATTATTTGGCCATTATTTGATTTTTTTCTATTTATTCTTATAGTATATCATTTTAGGCTATTTAAAGAGTTTATGAAAATGAATCTATTTAGCTTAAGAAATCACCTAATTTATGATGATAAATACTGTTTTTCTTTTATTCAACTCCTTGATAATATTTCTTTAAAATATGAATATCCTTTTTAAAATTCTAATAAGATTCTTATTGAAAATAATTTTGCATTTGTTTTAATTTTTCCATCTCTTAAAACGAATAATCTAATTTTTTTTAGGTTATGTATTCTAAATTTTAGATTTTGCTTTTTGTATCTCTTTAGAAATCATTTTGTGAATCTATAGAAGACTATATCAATTATGCTAAATAATTTCTATCTTTGCAATCTTATAAGTGTTGATTGTGTAAATGTGATAAACATTGTTAACAATATTAAGGTTGGCTTGTACATTCAGAATTAAGACAATATCCTTAAATTATCTGGCCATTATGAAAGTCGTATCGACAAAAATAATTATCCATATTATTAATAGAATTATGTATAATTTTTTAAAATAAAAAAATTATCGAACTAATTTAAATCTCTTTTCTAAAAATACTCCAAAAAATGCATTAATTTAATATAATTAACATTCAAATTGTTGAATAACTCCATTAGTCTATCTTCGAATTAAAAATAAACAAATTAATTAAAAAAATTATTTAGTTAAAATATTTTAATGATATTTATTAATATGTTCTCTTTTAAATTGTCAGGGATTGATTATTTTTAGAAATGAGTTCTTTAATCAAAATATCATATAGAAATTTTATTTTAGGTTAATTGATTTTTAAGTTCTGATATTGTGAATTATAGTTATTAACATTATATTCTAAATTATGAAAGAATAATTAAAATAGGAGTGCCTATTTATAAAAAAATGCTTAATTAAATTTCAAGTAATAATTTATATAAAGAAAAAACAATATTTTATTAACAAAATCTCATTCAAATCTTTTATTTTGTTTGATAATTTTATATCTTAGATAGAATATGATAAAATAGTTAAAAATAAAATGAAAGAGATAAAACGCTAATAAATTACTATCAATTTATTTTTTGCATGAAGTGTTTTTGAAATGAAAAGTTTTAATTGATTAAAATCAATAAAAAGCATCTAAAGAATAAATAATGATATTTAAAAAGAAGTTTGTTTAAAATAATGTTATTATTTATAACAAATATTTTGTTCAACCACCAATTTCATAAATTTCATTCAAATGGGTAATCCAAAATTTCTATTTTGCACCTATCGTTTAATTGTATGCAAGGGTATAATTCTTTTTGAATATCAATATTCATAGACTTAATTATATTTTAGAGATTGATACAAATGATTGGTTTGTAGATTATTTAGTCCATTTTACAATTTTTTTTTAAATATTTACTTCAACTATGATAATATCATTTACTGAAAATCCAAACCCTATATATTTATTATCCATATCACTTTAATCATTAGAGTAACAAAGACCTGAGTTATATATACAATAAGTTCTATTTAGATTTATTAATTATATAATTATACCCAGCTCCTAAACCACTACAATTTCCATAATATTTACTCTATACAGTATCTCGAAAACCTATTCCAATCATAACATATTTTAATTCAATTATCTTAAATGCAAATTAAGTCGAACAGTCTGTTGGAATCATTTGATCGCATAAACAACATTACCATACATTTAATTCTGTCTCAATCAATTTACCATTTTAAGATACTTTACAATTTTGATGCTTTTAATTTTATGAGAATTTTAATGAATTTGAAAATCTCGATAAATTATTCTCAAAAATTGGATGAATGTCTTTTCTAAATTACATTAATCTCTGTTATAACTATTATATTTAAAAATTTCCTTCTTTTTTATCTAATTTAGGTATTACATATTATTTCTAAACCTCTTAATTAAAAATAGCTGTATTCTTTTGCATTTTAAAAAATAAAATTTAGATATTATTTTCAATTTCGTTAACAAAATCATGAGAAACAACTTTTTAATTATTTAGATTATTTATTAATTGTGTAAACTATGTATAATATGAAATCTAAATTATTAGATATATTACTTTTCCCAAATTAGTTCTAAACTAATCTCTGCATTTTATGATATGTAAAATTTATCCTTTAAATTGAATAATTGCTTATTCTAACATTATTTAAATATCTTTTATAGATTTTTCAAGATTTTCTATCAGTTCTTTCAAAACGGAATCTGGTTTGCTTTATAAATTGTTCATTATTCTTTGGCTTGTTTCATCTAAATTAAATTATTTAATAAAATAATCAGGTTCCTATAATGCTTTTTTGATTGTTAATTTTTTTAACTTCTTTTCACTACTTAATTTAGATTGATTATCATCGCATTCGTTGCAAGCAAATTATACAATAGAAGAATTCCAAAGTAAAAAGATGGCTAAATTACCTGGATGGTTTTTACACGATATTGGATTCATTGATTAATTTTGAGATTATAAAATATTTTTAAAATGATATTTATGTTCATCAAAAATGAAATTTAAATACAAAAAATAGCAGCTCAAAATAAAAATCTTAAATACATTATTTACTATTATAAAATGCCATGATATAAATAAGTCTATATAAAATTTTCTATTTTGAAATATATTAGTAGATAGAATATATTTATCCTTGAATTTCTACATTAGGATTTAATTTTTTAAATATTGCTAATATATGCTATCTAATTGCAAGATTACATATTTCTAAAATAATCAATTATATTATTTATAATCACATAAATTTTAATGAAATAATAGATTCACATAAAGCTATATTTGTCCATAATTTATCATTATTTTATTGTATATGCTAGATTATCAAATAATGATAAGTTATTAAATTAAATTATATATTGTTTAATATTTTATTATGATTATCATTACAACTATCCATAACTCTTTAATATCCTCACTTTAATATTGGTCTCTTCACTTATATGCCCATAATATAAGACTAAAATCTTCTTTTTTAACAAACATAAACTTTTTTCTCATAGTTCCAAACGTCAGTTTACCTCATAGAATAAAAGTTCTGTAGTATTATGTATAGGAATATTGCTATAATCGTTTTTCAGCAACACTATTGTTTAAACCTTTAAATGAACAAATAGGACGTTCTATCAATTTTTCTTCTAAATTTTTTTAGCAAATATTCCATAATATTATCAATGAAAAGCATGTTTTAATTCTCAAATATAATTTTTGTTATACCATTTTTTCTTCAACCATTTTATCAGTATTTCCTTTCATAATGTTCTATAATTTTTTTAGTTATTAATTTCTCATTACAAAATTAAAAATTTAATTTAATTTTTATTATGTTATGAGTCATTTTAAAAAATTTTAAGTAATTCTTTAAATAATTTTTCCTATGTTTTTTCTTGTATATCATTTTAATTATGATTATCTTAAATAACTTTTTCCTTGGAATTTATATGATCTAATTTTATTTCTAATTGTGTTAGCCTAATCCAATATTTATTTAAGAAACTTTAATATTTGAGAATATTTATCTACTATTATTTTATTTCACAATGAGAATAAATTTGATAAAATTAAAAATTGATTATTTAATTCTTAATAGTTATTTTTTTTCTATTATTTATTAATGCTGTTAGTAGTTATATTTTGATTTACAAGTTTTGTTTAGGGTACTCTCTTTTTAATATCAAATACTTTAGGAATTTTTGATTCTAAGGAAGTATTAGTAAAAATAAATATAGAATTAAATTAGTTAATTTATAAATACAATAGACTTTAAAAAAGAGCTTTAGTAATTTAAAGAGTGTTATAAGATATTAGATAATGAAAAGAATAAAAAAAAAAAAGATAGAAAATTGATGTATATATTAAATATTGAATATGTTATTTATTTTGATGGATGGCATTCATTCTTTTTAATATGAAGTTCTAATAAGTTATGTAGCACCATAACCAACGTCTGGTTGTTATGGTTATTCAGGTGGTGCACTTCCTCTAAATAATGTAGTAGCTCCAAATCCTGTTTCTTCTTATCCATTTTCTTAGAATTAGGGTGGTTATTATTATTAAATATAACTTTTAGAAGTCTTGGTTCTAGCTAATGAGGTTTAAGTATTTCTTTAATTAGATTAATAATTTGGTTAAACAGTGTAAGGATCAACCATATCTAATATCTATGCTTTTCTTGATTATTAGATTGCAGATGATGACCTGATTTAAGACTTTGAAACTCCAGATAATCTTGGTTATTATTAATCTTCGTCCATATTTAAAGGGGCTTTCATTAAACCAATCATTTCCTTTTAAACTCTCATTGAAGATCTTAAATAATGAGATTCTAAATAATTAGCTTTCTCAATCAATAATTAAGTGCTTAATATATCTACTTCTTTTCCAACACTCCAAACTTCAGCATATGTCAATTTATATTCTTTTAATACTGGATTTATTAATGAACCTTTTATAAATATTATAATATCATAATTACCTTTTTTATATGTTTCATCTTCTGGTGTTACATAACTTTTTGTTTACATATCTTAAGCATCTATCCATAATCTAAATTTATTATTTGCTCCTCCGAATCCTACTCCTGAAGGTGCTATTTCATTCAAACCTTTATAATCTCCAATACCTTCTCCAAAATAATGTAAATATGAATAATTTTAAGTATTTTAATCACTTTCATTAGGAAATGTTCTTTTAAAACGACTTGCTGCAAATACTTTAAATTTAGGAATCAATTAAAAAAGATAACTTTCTTCATTTCCTTAATATAATCCAGAATCTATCCATTTTTTTTTATTAAATGCTCCCACAATAGATTCATCAGAATCATTACTAAATTTGAATAAAAACACTGTTGGTCCATCAAATTATAATAATGCTCTATAAAGAGATTCAAAATTCCAACCAGATATAGCATTACTCCATAATAAATTAACTTAACTTGATGATTTTATATATGCATTTCCAAGTGCTAAATAAATATATTATGGACCATTAAGCAAATAAGATGGCTTAGTAAATCTAATATAATTATACATTATATACCTTGCTTATAGCTTCTATTATTATACACTTAAAAATAACATTGTAAAGTATTATTTAACTTATTCTGTTAGATGAGGGAATAGTTATTTAAAGAATAATACTAGACTCCACCATTTCACAGCACCTGAACTATTTGGATATACAGCACTTAATATTGATCTAGCAACTGATTCATCAGCACTCAATTTTTAACTTAATGCTAAACCTGATCTCAGAGATATATACTCTACATCTTAGAGAAATTGAAGTGCCTCCAAGTATGATACATTTGAGTCTTTGAATTCAGCATCATCTATTGACAGTCTTTATAAACTTATTAAAAAAAAGATTTCCATCTTATCAAGTGATCTATATCCTTATAAATGATATGAACTAGGCTCTTCAATTAATATTTCCACTATTGTAATGAAATTCTCAAAATCAACCTTCTTATTTGTAGAATGTTTTAACATAAACTAATATAGTTTTCCACCAAAACAAGGGTTACCATCACATAGATACTCCAAACTCTCTTAACAAATATAATCTGTTGTTGCAGTTCTAAACATAAACGAATTATATTTACTCTCGATAACGACTTCGTAATCTATCAAATAAACGATGTAGTTTATCTAATACTACTTCATTTAATGAGATCTTATTCTCTTTACGTGATTCATTGCATCCCATTATATTTTTATTTTATTTATATTATTATACCTAGTCTCTATTCAAAGAATTTCACTCCTAATATAATACACACCTTTAACAATACTATCTCTATACCATTCAAATTACTCTACCCTTTTTAATATATTATCTGTCAAGTAACATCTTATATAACTCACATCATATTTTCATGAATTATATATCAAGAATATATTACAATATGATATTATCTTTAACACCAACAGGTTAATTATTGAAATTACAATTAAAGAAGATTCATTTATAAACATTTTCTAAATAAATTACCTAGAATTTTATGAATTAAATTTTACTTATAACAACAATTATGATAATTTATTACATGTTACGAATAGCCATATTATGATTCTTAATTTTGAAATCATTCACAAATAGCATGATAGAATAGTGTATGATTTAATTCTCAAGATTTTTAATACAATTAACGGTAATAAATATTGTTTGCTAAATGTAATGCATATTTCAAAGATTAAATCTTCTTGTATAAAAAAACATAATTAAAATTTTATGAATAAGAAAAGAATCCTAAAATTTAAGAATAATTCTCTAAGAACAAATTTTCAAAAGAAAAAACTATAATACTATTAACTATATCAAATTAAATAAAATCTATTTCTCATGAATTGAAAGTGTTTCAGTCAGAGCTAACTTTGAATCAACAAAATTCACATATTAGACATTAATAACATTTTAAGCTTCAAAATATAGAACCTCTAACAAATCCTTAAGAAAATGAACCAATTTCTTCAATATTTTTTAAGATTTTTTTTAAATTTCCAGTCATTTATCATAAATATTCTTAACTCTTTATAGGATCATAGAATTAAATGAATTTTTCATCAAAAAACCTATAATAAAATGAAATTTTTCAATTTTCAGTAAATTTCCTTAATATAATTTCCAAAAATGTCTATTTAAATTTGTTCTAATTTATTATTTACTAAACTTAATGATTCTGAATGTTGCAAAAATTGCCAAATTCTGTTACATAAAAATCATCTGATATGAAGAAAAATCCTATTAATTATTTTAAGTAAAATTCCTTTTCATGAAGATTATAATAGAAATTTAGCAATTTTGTGTTTTTTATTACTTCTAGTATATAATAGACAAAAAATGAATTTCTACATAAACGATAAATAAGGGCAATCAAAAAAGTATTTGATTAGAAAATATTATTTTCAATTTCAAAAGGAATTACCTTTCAATCATAAATAATATTATTAACAATGAATAATTAACATCTTATGATAATGTTCCAAATCTATTCAATAATGAAGCAACTAATTAAGATATATATAATTATTGGAAGATTGAGTAATTTGTATTTTATTTATAGTTTGAATATTTAAAGTTCTAGCTAATTATTTTGCTATTTGGATATTTGAACATTTAAAATAAATTTTTAAATAGATTTACTTATTTTTTCATTTGTATTATAATTCATTTTATTGATAATAAATAATGAGCAAATAATTATTATCAAAAATTTCTGAATTTTTTTGTTTCATATACCAAAATAGTTTATATATATATATATATATTTATAATCAAATAATAGAAAAATATATATCATTAATTGCCTCTTTGGCAGTAATTCGTTTGGTGCTATCAATTTATAGCATTTGTAACAATAAATTTTTAGCTTCTTAAGAAATATTACAATTAGATAAGTGTATATCTGCTTCTGATTTAAATTATGGAAACTTAGGAGAATAATAAGGCATAGATTTAAAGCCTTCCCAATCTAAAGGAGTACCCATAAATTAGAAGATTTTGAATAATTAATCAATTTCACTATTTCCCTTAAATAATGGTTCTCCTATTAACATTTCATAAAAGATGCATCCTAATGAAAATATATCTAATGCTGGTGAATATTTAAAATGACCCAAAAGTAATTCAGGAGCTCTGTACCATAAAGTTTATACTTCTTTAGTATGAGTTCTATTAATAGGGTAACCTATCGGTTTAGCTAAACCAAAATCTCCTAATTTAGCTACTCCATTTTGAACTAAAATATTAGCAGGTTTAAGATCTCTATGAAATATAAGTTAACTATGTAATGCATAGAGTCCTCTTAAAATATGAAGAAGTAACTTTTTTGCAATGTGTTCTGTTAGTTTTTTTTAATCAATCATTTTCCGAAGATCTGTATCAATATATTCCATTATGAGATATTATTTATAATCAATATCATCTAAAATCACTTATTTCAATCTTGAATATATATAATTTATACTCAACTATATGTGGATGCTTCCTAAATTATAATAAAACAGACATTTCTCTTAATGTAGTTGATTAAATTCCCTCTTTTTTTTCATCTTCTGAAAGTATTATTTCTTTTATTGCCACAATTTCATGAGTTAGTTTATTTATACCTCTATAGACTTTCCCATAAGTTCCTTATCCTAAATTTTCACACTTTTCATATTACTAAATTGAGTTCATTAATTTAATTTCTTATAAATTTAAAGTCTAATTGATTTTTTGTAAATAAGTATTTAAATTTCTTAAAATTTTAATTTAAAATAATCACAAAAAATTATTCTACAAAAATAAATGCAAATACATATAATTATTATACAAAACTGAATTTTTTATCTATATTATCATTTTTTTTTCTTTGCTGATTATTTTAAAAATGAATCTACTGATTCTATTCCTGGTTTTGAACTCTTTTTTTTTGGTGAAGATGATGATATACTTGAATTACTTTTTTATTTTTTTAATTTTCCATCAGAACTTTTAGGTGATTTAATTTCACTTTTAGATGTTTTTGTTTTTTTATCTATCTTAACATCTTATTATTATGATTTTCTCTTCTCTTCAATTTTCACTGATTTTTTTTCAACAGTTTTTTACGCCGATGTTTTAAGATTTGATTTCTTTTTTTATTCATCATCTTTTATTTTAGTTTTGATTATTGGATGCTCACTTAAATCAGACATAATTTATGAATCTAACATATGTGCTATTAATGAAGGAGTCCTTTACAATTTATTATCAAGAGACATATTAATTTAAAGAAATTAAGCATTATGTTATTCAAATCTTGATCTTAAATCAAATGGTTATTTTGGAGGATAATTTGGTATATACATCATCTTTTATTTTTATTACATCATTTATTAAACAAACTAATCTTGCCTTTTTTACCATTCATCAATCTTATTCAATGTTTTTGTACTCTCATAATTAAAATTTGATGTCTAGCTTATACTTGTTAGAACAGATCTTTCATTTATTATACTACTGTTAGTCCGTGAATTAAATCCCAAATTAGATAATGTTTGTTTCAAAGTATTAAATGAACTTTGTGTTGAATTATTTACAAATCTTACTAATATGAAATCACATATAATACTAAGTGTCAGATTTCATCATTTACTAAAAAACCTCTAATGGACTCTTCATTAATTATATTTTTAGAATTAATAAATTAATGAATTAATAAACTAAAGTAATTTATATAGAAATCTAATACTTTTTATATAAATTATTTAAATCTGTACAAAAATCACTTTCTAAGATTGGTATATAATTATAACTATTAATTTAACTAATCAATTTTTTTATGTTATTCTATTTTTTCTCCCCATCTCTTTTCTAATCTTTCTAAATTTTATATAGTTTCATTATATTTCCTATTTAAAATTGAATATTCTTCTTATTTTTCTTAATGTTCTCTTTATTATCTTGATAATTCATTATTTAAAGCATTAATTTTATAAGTCAATCTTAAATTATCTTTTTACAAATTTTCTAATAAAACTTATAAATCTTATTATCTTAGTTATGATCATAAATTCTGAATAAATAAATACTTCTACTATCTTCAACAGAGTTCTTTTTAATTTATGCTTCTTCTAATCCTAAATTTAATTATTCAATTTCTTCCTTTCTTTTCTTTAACATATCAATTAAATGTGCTTATTCTTATTTTGCTTAATTCAATTCCCCATTTATATTCTATATATTATAGCCTGTAATTATGCATTTTAAATATTATTCTTTAGAATATCTTCTTATATATTTTACTTTATGCTTCTAGTTTTTTCTAATTCTCCCTTTAATACTTCAATCATTTCTGTTTTCTATTTAAGATCTTATATCTATTATTATTCTCTTTAATCAAAATAAGAAATAGCCATCAATTTTAAATATTATTCAATATTCAGTTTTAAATCATTAATTTAATTTTCTTTATTTTAAACTTCATATTAATCTTTAAAAACACTCATTTCTTCCACTTAATCAATATTCTATTTTTCTTTTTCTTTCATTTATGATATTTATAATGGTAGAGCTTTATTTAAATCATTTATTTAATTGTTAGTATCTTTTTTTGTTTATCTTAATTCTTTTTATACTTAATCAAAATTTAATTTTTATTAAAATTCAATTTATTTCAAATCATCCAATTATTTTAATAATTATTAAGTTGATACCCAATACTATTATAATTATTGACTCATTTAATCTATTTATTTTTATTAATTTTATAGTTTATCCTATAATTTTGATTTTTCTGTCAACAAATTATTAGATAATTGTTTTTATTATTCCAATGAATTTTCACAAACATTTAAATTAATAATCTCCGAATAATTTATCATAATCTGCTTTAATATTAATTATTTTATCATCAAGACCTTTTTAAACAATTTAATTATTTTTAACTGATGATTAAAAATCCCTTCCTATATCTTTCTTTAATTTGATTATTTAATTCAATTCTGATTGTTTTTAATTTAAATTGATTTTAATCTATTCAGTATAATTTTCCAAATTATAACAAATTTATTAAAGATGATCCTCAGATTCTATGGGTTAGTTCTTAAAGTTTATTAGTATTAATTTATGATGGTTTTCTGTAAATATTATTTTAAAATTTAAACATTAATCTCTTAGAATAAATATGATATGAGTATTAGTTTCAATAATTTTTTACAGTTTGAATTTAAGATTAATTATAGAAATGGGATCTTAATTAGTAAAAATATTAATAAATAGTAAAAATTAAAGAATTTGAAAGTGATATGCTAAAGATTTAAAAAGTAGAATTTTCAATTAGTATTAAATAATGAAATAAAAAGATAATTTTAAAAAGGAATGAATATGAATTGTAAATATGATTTGTTTAAGAAACTAAAATAATTTATATATATTTAAAATATAAATAGAGAAATGAAAAGGGCAGTCTAAAAAGTGTAATTGTTAAAGAATATGACAAAAATATTTGCAGAAGGGAATTATTAAGTGACAGTTAAAAATATATTAAATGGTTTGTCTAATTAAAATGAATAGGATATGTAATATCTTGAGAAATAGATGTTAAAAATATTTCCAATTTGTTCAAAAATTTAAAGGTATTTAAGAAGCCAAGATAAGTTTCATTTGTTCATAAAATAATTTTAAGTAGAATTGCATAATGAAAAGGATGTAATATTCTGTATGGGTGAAGTAGGGAGAAAAATGTATTTTATATTGGATGGGAATTTGAATATTTTTCCATATGAAATAAATGAAATTAGTATGAGAATATTATATAATTGAGAATAAGTAACCTGCGGCAGTATTAGTTCCTGGAGATTATTTCGGAGAAGTGAGTCTTCATCATAGACTTCCAAGAACAGCTACAATTGTATGTGCAAGTAATGCAGTTCTATTAATAATAAACTATGAAGCATATTACAATTTCTTATAACCAGTGATCGATCATCAAATTGCAGTTCAGTATTATCAATTGAAACCAACAGCACTTTTCTATGGCTGGAATGAATTAGCTTTAGCATTAATTATTCATCATTTGAAATTAATTACTATTCTAAGAAACTAATATGTATATAAAGAGGGTTAAAATGATAGATCATTTTATGTTGTGAAGAGTGGAGAAATTTTAATTTAATAAAAAATTAAAGTCAAAGGGAAATTATAAGATTACGGACTTGTAAGTCTTGGTATTGGATAATGTTTTGGAGATTATGAATTTATTGATAATTAATCATGGTATTCTAATAGAAATTAACTTGAAAATATTAAAAGAACTACTGATGCTATTTCAACTACAGTTAGTGAAATTTATCAAGTCCCTTTATTCTAATATTTATAGATTGCAGAAAACTATCATTCACTATTATTCAAAAAATATTTAAAATAAAATAAACTTATTTTAACACAAAGAATTTTATAATTGTAAGAACGCATTCAAAAAATTGATAATTCAGAAGAATATGATAATCCAGAAAATCTTCATATCCCATAATTTAAACCTAAATCTTCTAATCCTTATTAAAATCTATTAAATACTATTAGAAATAGAAAAATTATACCCTAATAATAATAATAGTAAGAACTAAGAGAAGAAATTGAATCAGATACTAATATCAAACAATTAAAAAAAAAAATATAAAATTATTTTTATTAACCATCTAATCTTTAATAATAACTCAAAAAAAATGAATAAACTTAAAGCTTGTCTTCTCGTAATAATAATACTAGACTTCCTTTAAAACCAAGAGAAAATAAGAATGATAAGGCTAATTATTTAAAAAAATTATACGCTATGAGAAATAAATTATTAGCATAAACATCATATGGCAATTCTAATAATATTGATACTTAAAAAACTCAAGTATTGAATTAAAACTAACAAACCAATTTATTTTAATAATAATTCTAATCATTAAATATTCATTCCTATAAAAATTCAAGAACTGTTACTCCTAGTCCATCTTATGTTATTAAAACTCCTAATTAAAATTATTCAGAAAGAAAATATGAATTTCATAATGTTCATATAGTTAAATCAAAATCACAAAGTTCATTTTAATTACATAAATAAGAAAATTATCCTGTTAAAAAAATAATTATGGAAGTTCGAAACCAAAAAAAATCATCTTTGGGTTGTCTAATAACTTAATTATGATGTTAAGTATATTGTAATTATCAAAAATTAATTAAAAAATAATATATTAAGTTATATATGTTATTTTCTGCATAAGAAATAATAAGATCAAATAAATAAATATTAATTTTTATTCCATTATAATAAATAATAATAATGTGTTGCTGCTCATCAAACAAACCTAGTAAGATTTAAAAAAGCGAAATCAAACCAAGTTTAATAAATAATCAATAACAAAGTTAATTTCAGCAACAAGAATCTTAATAAGTTTAATAAGGAAATGGCCCTAAACCTCTTGAAGTTAAAGAAGTTAATCTAATGGAAAGTAAAATTGAGAGTCCACGTTCAAAATAATTAAGGTTATTTGATTCAGAACTTAAAGAATTCAAAGCTAAATATACTAAACTATAAGAAGATTCTGCAGAAGTGCAATAAAATTAAAAACCAGTTGATTAATTAAAAATCAAATTATTCAAGGATCAATTAACAACTCTCTAATTTCCCAATAATGAAATCTAAGGACCCATCTTTTTAGATGATAATATCTCAAGTTATAAGGATAGAGGTACAGATTTTGCAGCAAATTTAAGGGAATATACTGGAGATATAAGAAATATGAGACTTGTTAGATAAACTCCATATAATTCATATAGTTATATTGGATATCTAAAAGAACAAGGAATGTATTTTATTAAGTGCTGGAATGGAGTGGATTTGAATAAATTTAACACTTATCTTTTGAATCTTAATAAATAATCACAAAAAGGATAATATTTTAAAAAATATCATGCATTTAAAATAATTCCATAAAAAGACACAGATTAAGTTACTCCTATAGGAGAGGTTTAACTTATATCAATACTTGAAGATCATAATCTATATTCATTTGCGTATTTATTTTTATTAATTTTTCTAGAGCTTCCACTCATTTTAATATTGATTAAAAATTATAAGTTGCTCATTAAATATTAAATTACCTTAATTAAACAGATTTAAAATCTTCAGGTACTAGTAACTTATAATTTATGAAAAAAATAAAATTTGTCTCTCCTTCAAATATTTTAATATCAACATAAAATAATAGAATAGATGTTAAGATTTCAGATTGGTAATAGCATCTAAAAGAATTTAATGATATTGTTCCTGATATTGAATATAAGAATAATAATTTTATTTCTTGTAGTGATGAACCTGATGAATAACGCACTTATTTCATTAAATTACTACTCTTATTATTTTTTAGAATCAATTTTAAGTATGATTTTATATTAAATTCAGTTAAATTGAATAATTTGGAAATCTTGATGGTATTAATACTTTGAGTAGATTTATTGATGTTAAATTAATTAATTCAGACTCCAATTTCTATAGATCATCTGACTTTACTAGATATATTTAAAGTAAAATTAGTTTAATAGCATAACCAAATTAAGAGAGATACTAAAAATTATGGGGAGAATTAAAAGATAAACCAATCTAAAATTTATCTTTCTATACATTAGAAAAGAAGGAAAATTGATAAAAAAATATATAATAATAACAACAAAAATATCAATATTAGCATTTACTCAAAACAAATTAATTCATTTCTTCTCTTATTATTTTATATAATTTTCTAAATTATTTTGAAGAGAGTTCTTAAAACTTACATTTTTTGAATCCTTGATCAAATGTTTTAATATAATCTCTACCGATTCAAAATTTTTAGTTTTATCCAAATGTTTGGTCATGGCTTTAAAAATAAAGGTTTTTAATGTATTTGGAGTCATTAAAAATATTTCAGAAACTCCCTCACAATATTTATTTGAATTTACAAAGCAATTCATAAAAAATTATATCAAATTATCCTAAATATTTTTAGCTATTATTTTACTTCAGATATTCTCTTGTATTATAATAATAATTGAAATACTTAAGTATATACTTCCCAAAATATCTTGTTAGGATTTTCAATATTTATAAATATTTGATCTATCAGAATATTCAAGTCTTTTTGATTTTCATCAAGTCTAAATATCATAGTTATCTGTACTTAATTATCTTTTTAATTAAATCTTCTATAAAACTAAAAAGTTATAGATTTTCTATCTAATGAATTTTCTTTAAGAAGTATAAAATTGAAAAATTATTACTAGAAAACAATGTTTAAATTCTATTTCCTGCTTTTTAAATGGTTTAAATATTTGTAATTACTATAAGATTAAAAACAAATTCTATGTTAGAACATAATTGGTAATTTTATAAAATTTCTTCAAAAATCATTTAACTCCTTTATATTGATATAAGATTTTGAATAATTTTAAAAGACTTTATTATCTAATCTTAAGATTGCATTATCAATTTTTCTAAATGTATTGATTTTGTTTTATGTTCAAAATATACCAAAAATAAATAATGAATACTAAATTATTCAGAAGAAATCAAACTCTTGATTAAATCGAATAATAAACTCTCTTAATTGAAATTAATTTGTAATAATGTTATCAAGCAATTAAATTAATATTCTAAATAAAATCAAAAACAATACCATAATTAATATCATAAAATTAGTCTTCATACAAAATAGTAATTATTTTGGTCAATTCCTAAAGAAAAACATGTTTAACATCTGGTTGAATAGATTTATTGAAAAAATTGTATAATCTAATTAAGTTTTATTCTTATTCAGGATATTAAAATATAGAATCTAATTTTTCTCTTTCTAAAATCTTTTGTAATGTAATATCTATTTAAATTGTATTTATATTTTCAGATTCTTCTAACATAATATCATTTTATTAATTTGATTAAGAATTTCTTTAACTTTAAGCTAAGAATGAATTATCCATATTACTATCCTCCTCACAAAAATTTACTACTTGAGGAGTATCTAAATCATCAACAGTATATAATGCAAAAACAGATTAATCATAACTCAATCCACCAGGCCCTTAATATTAGTTACAAATTAATTTTAAAAAATATTCATGTATTTTGCATTTTACTGCTTCTTTTATATTTGGGTCTTCCAATAACTTTTAAAATATATTATGAGAACTAAGTGAAAGTAATTAGGGTTATACTTTCTTTTTTAATTACTCATTAACTTCAAATGTTTAAAATATAAACCATAAAGCCCCTTATAATTCATTATACATTTATTTATGATAAAGTTTTTTTAAGAAATATAAACCTGCTTAGATATTGTGATCATCCTTAAAATCTCTTAAATTATAAATTTAACAATTACTTTGTCATAAAGAATATGTCAGAATAGATAAATTTCAAAAAGATTGGCCATTTTTCACCTTACAAATCTGCAATTTCATATATTAATAATAGAAAATCTGCAATTTTATTTTAGATCACTTCTGTTTCATCAAAATGATAACCACAAACAATATTTCTAACTATTGCTCCAATAAAATTGATATGATATCCATATTTCTCAAAAATCATTGTCAAAAATGTTTAAATACTATCTAATGGCATTTATGAAGATATTGCAAATCCTATTCTTTATTCTACTTCAAAAGGTAAGGCTAATTAATAACTTGCTTTATAAGCTCCTGTTGTTGTTGTTTAATTAGCTATCAAATGTGAAATTGGTAGATTTTATTTTATTATATTTAAATTGAAAAATAAAATCTGTAATTCTGAATATTAAAATGGAGTTTACAAATTTATTAATAATTCTCTACCAAAATATAAAATTTACTATTGATAAAGTTGCCATATTTCAATCATAAAATCAATTATCTTTTTATGATGTATTTATTAAATTTTGTAATAATCATCAATATTTAAAATCAATAAATATTTATAAAATAATAATGCTGCTAAATTTGGCTTTGCTATAATAGATTTGTGTTAATCAAATAGAAAGTTTAAGAATTCTAATAGCTAAATGAAATTTTAATTATGAGGATATATTATGCATATTCTTAAAAAGCTTTTAAAACATTCTTCCAATTAATCAAGGGGATTTTCCAAGAATAATTTCATTATCTCAAATATTTGCAATTTATTATGATCTTTCAATAAATGATACTGAGTATTTATGAAGTGACTAAATTCTTAATAAAATGCAATAATATTATGAAACCCATTTATATTCATTAAATCAAATAGCTAAATAATTAATTTATTTTACACTTCTTTAATATTTAGGAGTTAAAAACATAACATATATGATAGCTTTATGTTAATCACTAAACTAAAATAGATTCTTTTATAAATCCTGCTAATTTTGATATTATTTACACAATTCATATAATTAATGTTACGTTTAGATGTATGCCTACTTTGTTTTACACAAATACTTATTATTCATATGACGGATACGTTAGAACATTGTAATTATATATATTTTCGGGTCCTTGAAACCATTACTTAATAATCTCTTACGATTGTTCTATTGTTAAATTCATAATTTTTAATGAGATATTTATATTTATTATATAAATAACTTCAAATTCAAAAAAATAAATATCAGCTTAATTAAATAATGAATATTAAATTTGTTCAACATCTATATAAGACTAGATATATGTATTGTAATCTTCACTATATATTATTATTCCAGCTTTTCTATAAATTTAACTCTTTCTTCAATCCCAATCAGTTCTCTCTCTAAATTTCTATTAGAACACCCCCAATTACATTCAAAAAATAATTTTCTTTGATTCCTAACTATGGATTGTGTCTATATTTTGAGATTATTAAACACTTTTCCATTTTATAAATAAAAATGATCATCGTCCTTATCTAAAACTTAAATTTAAAAGAATCTAAATTATGACCCTTTATTTTATAATAGATATTTATCAAATTGAGCATCTAGGTGTATTCTTAATATATTTGTCTTAAGTTTTGCCATTTATAAAATCTCTCCAAACTCTTCTATTAAATCACTCTTCATTAGATAAATACTTTTCTTCTAAAGTTATTACTAATTTTATTCTAATTTTGAACAATCCTATATGGTATTATTTAATATATACTGTAGATAAGACTAATCTTTATTTTCACACTCATATTACATCAATAAGAGAGTTTATCAGAATTCCATTTTTTAAAGAATAATTATAATAAATAATTAATATGAATTATTTTCCTGTAAGTAATATAAATTAAAATAGATAAGTGTTTTACTTGGTGGAAATAGAAAAGCCATTCTACAGAGATTCAAGGGTAACGGAGTTGTATTTGTATTAGATTTCTTAAAGTAAAAAAGATAAAAATTTTATGAAAAACTTATATCTTAAAAAATGTTACCAAATGATATTGATATATTATTCAATGAAATAGACATCGAGATAGCAACACTTAGAGAAATAGAATAAAATTTATTAAATTAGTTGCACTCAAATTAGCAGCAAAAGATATATGAATATTTGAAATTAGGAGAATATGAATGTCTTCCTCTTTATAATATTTCACTTATTTTAGGTGATATTGGAAGTGGTAAAACATTAATGATGTTTTCAGCTATACAAAATTATTTAATCAATTAAAATAAGGATTTCAATTTGATTTATTATGATTGTTCATGTACTTTGTCTGCTTAAAGAATCTATAAAATTATTAAAAGCACCAATTCTGAAGCAACAACTATTGATATAATGAATAAAATTTAATATAAAGCTGTTGATTCTCTAAAAGACTTTGAATAACTAATAAAAACTATTCCTAATAAATCAATTGTATTTATAGATGGATTAATGACTCTATATCATGAAAGTGAAATTGAAATCTATAATCTCTATCACATTATTAACGAATTAATGAGATATTTACATGAATTAACTGAATCATAATAAAATACATTTGTTATATCAATTAGATCAGTCTAGGATTAATTATAGTATATACAAGCTACTAAATATGATTAATATATCAATACATTTGCTAGTTCAATTATTCATTTGATTTCAACAAAAACAACCAAAATTATGAAAATTCATAAATCACTAAATGAAAGATTACCTTTTGATTAATCTATTCTCTATTAAATTAATGAGGATGGGATTAAATGGTCAAATTAATGAATTTTATCAATTTATGATTTATTCAAATTTTAAACATTTTTCCTCTTTTGATATCTTAGAGAAGAATAATATAATTCAAATTTGTCTACAATACATATTTCAATAAATCCTAAAAATATTACAATCTGATCCTTTTAAACTTCTAATATTCTATTAAACAAACTTTTTTTATTTAATTCTCAAAGGATTATAATAAAATTTTAAAAGAATTATGTTAAAATTAATGACTCTTATCTATTTTTTATATTAAATTAAATATTATAAAATAATCATTAATGTTAAATAGTAGAAAATCTCAAATACCTGATTTTAATCAAGCAATTAAATCTTAAGAGTGCAGTATAAATACTAACAAAATGATAATTTAAGAAATGTATTAATGTGCATAATGTTTTGATTATCCACATGGGATATGTAAATATTGTTTTGAACATTGTCATAAAAAAAATAGAAATTAATATCACTAATAAGCAAAATTAATAAAAATAAAAGGTAATTTCAAATGTGAATGTGGATTATTTAAGCATAAAAAAAAATAATTAAATATCTAATAATGTCCCTTAAATTCTTAAGCTTTTTGTCCAATTTAAAATTGTGTAGTTTGCAAAACTAATCTGTGTGAATTTTGTTTAAAAAATTGCAAACATACTCATAATTTTATTAAAGGGGAAGGTTGTAAATGTAATTAATTGCATTCAAAATATAAGCTCAGATTATATTATATGGAATACTTAAAAAAGTACAGCATCATTAAAAATCTGCAATATAAACCTGAGAATGAACTATTTGCACTAAAAGTTGCTAATTCATTGCTTAATAATTTTGATGTTTTTGAGTATTTATTTGGAGAATTAAAGAACACTTTTGAAATTATTTTTAATGAATTAGAGACAGGAGATTTTAATTTGACATGTATTTGGTCTTAAAAACTGTACTTTATATTTTTTTATTGTTATTTAGAATAGATTCATAACCAGAGGAAAAAAATCTAAATGAAAAAATTTTAGAATCATTTACTGAAAGAAGTTTTCCTTATACTAAAATAATATCTATATTTGTTTTTATGGAATCGCTGCTTACAAAACTCAAGTATAATCTTATGTACCTTGATGATAAGATTTGGTAATGTATGACGTCAAGTTAGATAAAATTTTTAGTGAGTAATCAATCTTAAACTATATTTAGGTTAGTATTACATCTTATCATAAAATCTACAAGAATCTGCTAAAGAGAAATTATCTCATTTAGTTTTGAAGATCTTAAAAATTTAATCTATTCAACTGAAATATCAATTTTGTTAATTTAGAAAAATTTACACAATGGATATTGAAAATAGTACTCCAATATAAAGAAATTAAATAAGAAAGTATAATTAGCGTTTAGATAATGGAATTATGTAAGTTGAATTAACTGAATTGATAAAGAGATATTATAGGATATTATTTGATATTGAAATTACAAATCCAATTTTATCAAAATTATTGATTGTCTTACTTAAATATGTTAAGATGGGCTTGTAAACAGGCATATTAATTAAAACTTAGGTGATCTTTAAAGTTATTTTAAATTTAGAAAAATTATGTAAAGATATTGATTATTATAATTAATAAAAAAGTTTTGGGTAAATATAACGATTTTTTACTGAATAGATGTTTAATTTATTAAGTAAAATATTAATATTAACATACTTTTAAATAAAGGATGATTAATTTTATGATATTTTAAATGAATAAATTAGTAGAAATGAAAAGAGATAAATTTCATTGATTGATAAATATACAGCTTCATTCTTTTTTGAAAAAAAAAAAAAAAATTTATAAATTGATTTATTTTATAATGGTGAATCAGAGAAACTTTAGATAATTTGGAGAGTCTTTATCAATATAGTTATAAACTAAAATTTGAATGGTTAATATTATAATTAAATGATGAATCCTTAAACAAAATTGAATCATATAATCTAAACTATGTTGAGAGAAAATCTTTTTGTAGATACTACTTTAAGAACTCAAATTATGTAATTATAAATAGAAGATTTATTATTATGGAAATATGAATAATTGACAATTTTAAATTAAGATGTAATTTTTATTATAAAACTAAGTTTTAAATTGAATTAAATAACTTTAAATCAGAATGGAATAAATTTTTGAGAAATTCTTACTAAAACTCATTTGAACTTGAAGATTCAGAACTTGAAAAGTTATAAACACTATGTAAAAAACTTTTAAAATCAAAATATTTTATAGAATTATAAGATTTTGAAATTAATTAAGAAAAAATGTTTGAAAATCAAAAAAAAGCGTATTTTATATATCTTAATTAGTAAATCAGCAAAAAATTTATAAGACGAATTAAAAAAACATTTGAAATAGGATATGAAAATTATCAAATAAACTCAATAACTACTCTATGAGAAAGGCGTAGATTTTATTATAATAAGATATTGCTAGTTTCTAATTTAAAATTAATTTGAAAATGCTTTTAATTTAGATATTATAATTAACATTACAACTTTAATGTTTAAAATTTTAAAATTAATGATCAATTACAATTAATAATTGATAAATTAGATTTACACAGTAGAAAATCTTTCATTATTTTAAAGAATAGCAGAAAAAGAATTGCCATATTTTGGTAAATGCACTCTCAACAACATAATAATCAAATTTCATTTTGATGTTGTTTTAAGAAGTGGATTTTTAATCGTTTATTAATATTGCTTTATAAATCCATAATTTTTGTTATAACATCTAATTAATTTAAATGAAATTTTAAATAATTAATTCGATAATAGTTTAGAAATAACTTAAAAACATGCTTCAATAATATTATATAATAAACATCAAATATTTGAACTAGTTATCGCAATTTTAGAATTTATAATCACATCAAATGAAATGAATCGTGACTATCTATAATATCATTAGATTTGTGAAAATTTATACAATAAAATTTTACCTTAAGTACTTCATCATCTTAATGATATTTTGAATTCATATACTCCCGAAACCTCATCAGATAATCTCTCTATGAATTAAAATTATAAAACATATTCGTTTATGTCACTAAATAGTTCATTAGAGCTAATTTAAAATGAATTATCTAATAATCCAGGAGGAAGTCCTAAAAATTAATTATCTCAAATGTCATTTTATTCAATAAATTCATTGAACTAATCATAAATAAATTATCAATCTTTCACTATGAAATAATTAAATGAAAAATTTATTAAATAAGAGGAGGATTTAAGTAATCAATTAGGATTAGGAATAACAACAATATTATTGGTACATTCTTTTATTAGATTTATGAATCTTATTATTGATTATTTTAATAGAAACTAACTATTGGAATCATTAGAAAGTCTTGAATAATCTTCAATAATAGATTAAATTGAAAAGATTCATTCGTACTTTAGTTTGTAATTGAAATAATATTAATAATATCAATTATATCAGGGATATTTAAATGGATTTGAAGAGTTAGTATAAGTAATGGAAAAATTCTAAAATCTTGTAAACTATTCCTTAGCCAATAAACATGATAACTCTAAACCACCAGAGATTTTTTAAGTCCAAGATAACAATTTAAGTGTTGCAATTTCATAGAAAGCTATAGATGATATTGTTAAATTTAAAGATAAGAGCGTTTTCTAAGCTTTAAATAAGGTTTTGTTGAAATCTAAATTAAAACGAATTGAATTAGAAAATGATGTTTTAGAATAGAATGCTATAGTTTAATTAATCAAAAAAGAATATCAAAATCGGAGTAAAGAATAATGTAGCATAATATTTATTGATGTTTTAATTGAATTATTATAACAATAAACTTCCTTTGAAAGAAGCCGTAATTTAGAATATCCCAATACTATTTTCATTTCTCACATAAACTATATTATATAATTTTAAAGATTATTATAAGCTGAGACAAAACCAGTGTAATAAATTATTAACACTAGCATTTAATCTCAAGATTTAAAGTATCATAATTTTAAGAAAAATTTTAACAGTTTTTTATAATATTTATCAGAAAATATAATTCCTTTTTTATTTAATAAAGTTATTGAGTATTAAGATTAACCTTATTTATCTATTGTAATAAATAGTGGGAAATATTCAATAATTGTTCTTGAATTTATTAGATATTTAGCTGAAGGATAGAATTCAGAAATGTAAAAATATGTTGGAGAGTCTGGACTTTTTTTACGCATTCTTAACTTATTAGTTGATTTATTTAAGTCTAAATAAATATTAGAGATTGTAAGAGAATCTAATAATCAAAATAAAATTAAATCATAAACAAAAACTACTTTTTAAAAAGCAGTTCACAATGTTAGAAATATGCAACTAAAGAAAAAAAATAGTAGTACAACTGATTACTTACTAAAATTTCTTCAAAAAAGAAAAAACAGCCAGAAAAAAACATCCACATAAAATGAGTTTATGTAATTTGGCATTCATAGTACTCAAGGAGATTAGTATGGAATTGATGTATCTCAAGCTTTTCTGAAACTTTTTGCTCATACAATTATTACTATTGCAGAATTTAATCAGGGATCTTAATAAAATAATTAGAAACTAACCTTTAGTGAATTAAGCAAAAATAGAGTTTGGCAAGTTATCATCTAAATTTTGACAGTAAGAACAAATGAAAATCAATAAAATAGTGTATACACACTTCGACTTTATATATTTTAATTAATTCTATCTTTGCTTGAAGATTCAGAAAGAAATTCAGATGACTTTCAATATATAATGAATCTTATCAATCATAAGTTATTAGAAGAAACCCTTACATAGACTTATAGAGCCTTAATAATATTTAATAAATTAGATTTAAAAGATTTATCTACAATTGATAGTTAATTAACTGAAAAATATAGAAGAGAATTAGGAGACAATATAAATGAATCATTAATTTTTGATTCTAAAATTCTTATTAAAATTTTGTACTAAATTTATAAGATGCTTAATTTATATTCAACAGCCAGTCTTGAAATATGTTAATACTTAAAAGATCAGAAACAATAACGTTTATAAAGTTAAACATAATTATTCAAAAGAGAAGGGGATTACTTAGCTAAATCAGCCTTTTAATTTATATTTAATATTGTTGGTTCAATAGAATATGTTAATCAAAAAGAATAGATAGAAATATTTCATTTTCTCAAACCTCCTATGTGCTTTTTTTTATCAGAAGAAACAAAATAATAATTCTTATTAGAAACAATTGACAGATCGAATCCTGCATCAAAGATGGCATCTATTTTTGATTCAATTCCTTAATTTATGACAGAAATGAAAGAAAACATGACAAAATATCGAAAATCATAATTCTTTGAAAGATTAATCAGTGTGGCTATTTCTCAAAAGTAAATTTTTTAATTTAAAATCTAGTTTTAAACATAGATACTTGGCAATTTCAATAACAGTTTTAAATATAATTGTCATACTTATTATATCATAAACAGCTTTCTTTAAATTAGAAAAAGATGAAAATGGTATAAAAAAAAACTATTATGAATCTCATTCTATAATTTTATCTCTTTGTTAATTATTACTTATATTCACATCACTATTGGCATTGATATGTCAATTATTTTTTAGAATGAGCATATATTATCAAATCAGTTGTAAAGAGGTAAAGCATACCTTTTATAACACTTTTGTTATTATGTTTAGTATATTATAAAGAAGAGATATATTTTAATTTTTTTTGCATTTCATCCTAAGTATTTTAGGAACTTTTGAACCATTTTTTTATTACTTGTAAAGCTTTTGCTTTATTTATATATCTTAGACAATGTCATCTGTTTTAGAAGCTTTGCGATTGAGATGGTCATAATTTTTGGGAATTTTTAGTGTTTTATTGATTATTTTAAATGCTTATAGTTATATAGGATTTAGAAGATTTACTACTAGTTTTTAATTAGATGTAATAGTGCATCCAGAGAATGATATACTTGAAGAGGAATACCTATGTGATACTCCTGCTCATTGTTTTATAAGTTTAGTGTATTTTGGATTAAGAGAAGGATCAGGATTAGCAGCCCATGGAGATGTTGAAAGTTTCCATCAATCTTCAGATTTTTTCCCAAGATTTGCTTTCGATTTTAGTTTTTTTATGATTGTTACTCTCATTATGATCAATATTATTAATGGTATCATAATAGATACCTTTGCTGAACTTAGAGATAAATAGTAGTAAAATGAATATGATAGAAATAATGTTTGTGTTATTTGTTCTTTAGAAAGGTATTATTTAAATTATTATTGTTAGATGGGAATTTGAGAAGAAAGGTTTATAGTTTTAAGAACATTTAGATGAAGTTCATAGTCTTTCAAATTATATAGCATTTATTGTACATCTTCTTTAGGTAGGAAAATAAAATATGAATGGAATTGAAACCCACATATACACAAAAATTATAAATAGAGATATGAGTTGGACACCATTAAAAAAAACTTTATAGTTGCTTGATAAGTTATGAAATAAGATTATTTTTTTAAATGATTCATTCTAAATTATTAATTTAATTCATTTATAGTCTTTATATAAATAAGGTTTAAGGATGTATTATTTAAATAAATTATTATCATAATGGAAGATTAAATTTTTAATTAATATTATTAATAAGTTAAATGTCAGAAATAATAGTAATGCTAAAATCAGAAATGGGATTGAATAGACTTTCTATTCTCTCAAATTAAACATTTTCAGAGTTTGTAAACAAAGTTGCTTAAGTTTTGAATAAACCTCCTGAATCATTATCTTTAATTTTAGAAGGAGTGTCACTTACTTAAAAAATATCTCCAACTTTACCGATTAAAAACATACCAAAATTTTAGTAATAAATAATGAGATATAATAAGAGATGGAGCCATGATTAATGTAACTGTAGACTAAAAAAAAGTTTAAATTAAACCATAATAGATTTAAACACCAGAGTAGCCAAAAGTTTATTTAGCTAATGGAAAGTTAGCTAATTTTTAATAACTTTAACAGGTTGATCATAAAATTCATGAGAACAAAGATCAGTATGAATTAATATCAAATAATAATAGTGCTTTAAGTTAATTTTGTTAACATGGACCTTAAGCAAAATGCATAAATTGTTTATCTTAATCATCTAGTAAAATAGAAAAAGAAGAGAAACCAGAAGTTAATAAATGTAAACATGGAGAAGGTGGTCGTTGTTTGAATTGTGCTCCATATGAATAAGAAAAAAAGAATACAAAAACTGTAAATAAAATTTTATGTTAACATGGGCCAAATGGAAAATGTCCACATTGTATAGATGAAGGTTAAATAGAGGCTAAACATCTTTCATTTGATTAATATTTGCATGATATGAAATTTAAGTGTCGTGGTTAACATCCAGATAATGGAAGATGTAATAATTGTCTTCCTCCAACAATGGTAATGAAAATATTAAAAATAATAGATATCATATAAAGTTAAGAAAGATTGTAAGAATCATGCTCCATATCCAAAAGCAATGTGTAATAATTGTTTACCACCATCAATTTTATTAAAGAGATAAGCATATAGACATGTAGATTATGTTGAATTCTTAAATATTCCAGAAATGTCAAATTTAGTTTAATATTGGACAAGTAAAGGTAAAACAGAATAAAGAATGGGATTTTTATATGGATATTATGCTGCAGATCCAAATTATTAAAATGGTGTAAGAGCAATAGTAGAAGCTATTTATGAACCCCCTTAAAAAGGTTCATTTGGTCATGTTGATCTGTAATAAGATCCAGCTTAAAATTATGCTGATGAAATAGCAACCAATTTAGGTATGGAAAAAATTGGATGGATTTTTACAAATGTTAATCATGATTGTTTTTTATCAAGTGAAGAATTAAGATAAGCTGCAAAATATTAATAAGCTCATTCAGTTAAACATCCAGAAGGTTGTTTAGTGAGTAAATTCTTAACTGTAGTTTTAAGAAGTAAAAATATTTTATAAATTAATTTTAGCTAAAAAAGATAATCCTGATGAAGTTGTTCCAGAAGTATATATGGTTTCTGATTAAGGATAATAGTTGGAGTATGATGGAATATTTAAGAATTCAGAAAGAAGAAAAGTATTATAGGTTAGAGATGCTAAAGATGAATTTGATATGTTACCATCCTTTGTATATAATGGTAAATCAGTTAAAGAATTCGAACCAGACTTCTTTATTGTTAATGTAAAATTAATATAAATACATAAAAGGTTGCTCATGGTTATAATCCAAATTCCAATTATAGTATACTAAAGTTGTATGATTTCCCTGTTGAAAATAGAACTGTTGTTGCTAAATAGTAGGATCTTAAAACATTCTTACATAAACATTAAAAGAAACCAAGTCATTATCGATTTGCAGATTTTCATTTATTGTTATATTTAAGCAAATTAATTGACATTCATGTACTTTTTATATCGATTTTATATAGAGTATTGCTAATATAGCATAGTTTATAGCAAGTGAATGTGAAATAACTCAAGATTTACTGGATATTGTTAAAATGTATGCAACAGGTGTTTGAGATTATTATAAAATTAAAATATTTTTAATAAATGGCTAAGTTTACAAATAAACCAAAAGGTCGTACAAGTAAGAGATTAGCTCTAAATAAAAAATATAAAATAGAAAAGAAGGTGAAGTAACATCATAAAAAGCTTAAAAAGGAAGCTAGAAAGATGAGTGCCTTAGGATAAATCAAGAAAAGTATAAATGAATATTAATGAAATTATAGCATCATCTAAGGAAATAGGGATTCCAAATATGTATCCATTTAAAAAAAATGTGATTGAAACTTTGAAGAGAAAGAAGGATTAAGAAGAATAAGAGAAAAAAATATAAAAATTATAAGCAAAAGAGGAGATTGATTTGAATTTGGCAGAAGTGAAATCAAATCTATATGAATCCAAAGCACCAGTAGTTGAAGAGGAATAAATTTAATAGGAGAATATTGCTTAATTAACAAAAGAGCATAAGAAATATATAACATAGGTAAAAAAAGTAGTGGAAGTAATTTATTTATTTATATTATATAAAGGCTGCAGATATAATTTTAATAATATTGGATGCTAGAGATCCTATGGCATGTAGATGTAAACATTTAGAGAGAGAAATTGTTGGTATGCCAGGAGAAAAGAAGATTATATTGGTATTGAATAAAATAGATTTGGTTCCAGCAGGAAATGCAGATGAATGGTTAGCTCATTTAAGAAGAGAATTTGCAACTGTTCTTTTTAAAGCTAATACCTAATAATAATAATCAAATTTGTCTTCAGCATCAATATACAAGAAAACTTTATCCTAAAGATAAGATTTAGCTGATGATTTGACTTCTTCATCTAAAGCAATTGGAGCAGATAAATTATTAGAATTAATAAAAAATTATTCAAAAAATGATGGAGTGAAAAGTAGTGTTACAGTTGGTGTTATTGGTTATCCAAATGTTGGAAAGAGTTCTGTTATTAACAGTCTTAAGAGAAGTAAGGCTTGTGCTGTTTCTTCTACTCCAGGATTTACAAAAGGACTTTAAGAAGTTGTTATAGACAATTAAGTTAAAATTATTGATTGTCCAGGTGTTGTTTTTGATTCTGAAAATAAGGATAGTACTCTTTTAAGAAATATAATTAAAGTAGAAATTTATATATATACAATATATATAGATTGAATAAATAGAAGATCCAAGAGAACCTATTGGAGAAATATTAAAAAAGGTTTCTAAAAATGAGTTACTCTTACTGTACAAGATTTAAACTTTTAATAATGTTAATGAATTCTTGTGTTAAGTAGCTTTGGCAAGAGGAAAATTATAAAAAGGAGGGATTCCAGATTTAGAATGTGCAGCTAGAATTGTATTATAGGATTGGAACTAAGGTAAGATTAAATATTTTACTATACCTCCCAATTAAATTGAATAAGAATGACTTATTTATTTGTTTGTTTCATAAAAAAAATTAATAAAGCTTTAGTTGATATATGGGATCTGTTTGTATAAATGCATCATCTAATAATAATAAGGATATTATACATTACCCAATTGTTAAAAAGCAGTTGAAAATGTCACCTAATAAATAATGTGTTTTCGAGAAACCATTGATTCATTCTGAATTACTTGAAGATACTCAAGATCTAAGTTAATTGGAGAGCATTCTAGAAGATATAGATTTAAATAAAAAGATTATTGATGATAAAATAACAAATGAACAAATAACAATTAAATAAGAAAGATTAGAGTAGGTAAGAATAAAAGAAATTGTGGAGATGGTTACTCAAAACATTAATAGAGTTATAACATAAACAAGAGTTAAATTAGACTTAAAAGAAGAAACATCAGTAATAATGAGGATGAAATAAGGAATTTTAAAAACAAGAAATAAATCTCAATCATAGAAATCAGTTAATAGAATAAAAGAAATAAAAAGATAAAAGAAAGTTACTTTTGGTTCTCATATTGAAAAATAAAAAATAAATAAATTGTTAATATGAAAGTGAGTAATTTAAATTAATATTAATACTTAACACTATAAAATATTGAATCAATCATCAGTTTAACATAGCATAGCCACTCCTCTTTTAACCCAATGATATGGATGATGATCAGGTGAAATAGGTAAATAGATAGAAATAACAAAGTTAGTTGAATGACCTGTTGTTGAAAGAGTACCAGCTCTTCTGGATGTCTTATATACTGGGCATTCATAAACCTATACTTATATTCTTTTTATATTACTGATAAATCAGCCTCCCAATCCTTCTTTTCTTCACTTGGTAACAACCATAAATAAGGTACCTTGTATTATAATATTTTTGGTAAACTTTCATTTAAACATCTATTTTCCTCATCCCATCTAGCACCATCTAAGAAAAGACCATAAATGTAACATCCATCATCTGGAGGTTTTGTAAGATCATATTCTTAAGATGAAGGAGGAATCACTATAAATTCAAATGACAATGTATCTATTGGTATTTAGTACTATAATTTTATTAAGAATATTTGATACCTTTCGAGCGAAATTCTATAAGGTTCCAGTCAAAAAAGATTAAGTAAAGAAGAATCCAGATACCCAAAATGTTGGTGGAGCTCCATTATCTATCCACAATTACATAAAATTCAATCTATCAATAAAATCATTTATCCATGATCCTAATGGTTTAAGTGAAGGATAAGCCACTTTATGCCATACATCTGGAACTTAATTATCAAAAACCTTATTAAAAACTTATTCAAGATCTGAACTCATTACTACCAAACCATCTATTGCCTTACCCAAATCTATAAGAGATGATGTAACTGCTGCCAATAATTTATTGAATCTAATTAATTCTTATTACAATACTGTATTCATACTTTAATTGTATTGAACAGGATGTTTACGAGCAGCCTCAAATACATTAAATTATTTTGGCAATTTTTATAAAATTTATTTGCACTTTTCTTTTATTAAATCTTCTGCAGATGCACCAGCACCTCCAGTTGATCTTGGTAATAATGATAAAATTGTTGATGTTATAAAATTTGTTTCAATCATTGCTGATGAAATCTCTGCGTTATCATGTAATCCAAATACTTCAGTTTAATCATTCAATGGTAGATTTCTTATATATTCTTTGTAATCTTCCAATATTCCATTTGGAGGTACATAATATATTCCACTTGGACTTAATTTATGTTTATCAATCTATAAAACATCAGTTGTGTAGAATTATTTTAGAAGAATAGCAATTAATCTTCTATCTTTTGGATCTGTAACTCTACCTCCATAATTAGCTTCAGCTACCATATAATTAAGAGCTTCCCATGGAATATCTTCAAAAGTATCTAGGAAATTCTTCAATTGAGAAACAGAGATAGCTAGATCTGCTGATGTAAATTCATAAGGTATATTCCATCCAAGAGGTCCATATTTTCTACGTTCTAAACAAACTGCATGGAAGAAATTTAATCCGAAAAACAATTTTTTCCATTCAACTGGTTTTTTGCATAATTCAAAATTCTTGGCATCAATAGATGAAAAGTTTCTCAACATATTATTTTTAAGACCTCTTGGAGGTTCATAAGTCATTTTAATTCCTCTCATTAATAGAGTAACTGGAAATACATTTGAAGGCATTGAAGTTAACCAAATTCTAAAATCAGTATTTACTTCTTATGGTGGTTTAGCACATATTTCTTATTCATGTATTCTTTCTAATTCAGGCATAAATGATGGTGCAAGATGACAATTTTATAATAAAACCCATTTTCCTTCTTTAACAGCACCTTTAATAGCATTAGTAGCAATTTCACCTTAACCTTATCCTAATGAGAGAGTGATAAAATTTTATCTAAATCCTAAACGATCAGCTAATGCTGATATTTCTAGACGAGGATCAGCACCAGGAGACAAAATAAATATTAAAGGAGTATAAGCATCTGCATCTTTGTATGCATATTCAAGATTAAAAGGAGGTGGATCCATAAATTATTTACCCATTTCTGTAATAATAAGATTTTAAGTAGCATTAGCAAATTTATCAGGACGTATGATACGTAAAACAATTAATTTTTAAAATGCAGATAATTATGAATGCCAAGGTTCTGGTAATTATTAAGTTTATGGTTCACTACTATCATATATTTCTTACCAATCAATTAAATTTTTAGAAAATGATTCTGGAAATCCTTTGAAAAATGGTAGAGTATCTGCTGCTTCTGTTACTAAACACCACATCTTTTTAGATACCCATTCTTGTTATGGTTATGGATATGTTGGATCTGTATAAGTACCACCAACCATTGTAAAACGTATTTCTTATGGAGTAATCTTACCTTCACTCTACATAACTTTCATTGTCATTAAAAATGAAAATATTAATTTATCCTTCTCTAATAATGATCTACAAATACTCTCATAAAGAGATATCTAAAATTTATCAATAATATTTTTGCTTCTATTCTCTTTTCCTTAAATTGACTCTCTTATTGCTCTTTCAAAAAGTATGATATAAAACTCCAAAGACCATTAATAAGTAGGCTCAATTAATGAAAGATCCAAAACTACAAAGTATAAATTTGCTACTCTCTTTGCAACTTCCTTATAGAAATTACGAATTTAATTAAATTATTCTCTATCTTATTCTTGTTTCTTCAACTTATCTTATATAGTAATAGATTCAGCCTTGGATCTTTACAAAGTATCAATGAGTACTTCATCATCCAATAAATTGCCTTTTGATTCTTATAATAGTTACAATATATTATCTTCTGTCATCTTTTATTTATTCTTATTTTCAAAGAATTCTTTTATATTTCTCTATCTTTATTCATCTTTAGCTGGTTCTTCAATCTTAACTACAATATTCAACATCTAATCTTCTAAACCTTCTTAAGTAACTTAGAAATTCAACATTGTAACCTTAACACAAATTTCAGGTGGATAATGAGGTCTGGCCAATTTTGTAGTCATGTAAAATTTGAAATCTCTCGAATAATCTATCATTTTATCTCCAAATTTCAATTTATAAGCTGAACCCTATTTAATAATCTTTTATTATAAAATAGATTCAAAAATAGCATCGATGCTTTCACCCACATTCTCTAATAAAACACTCTAACCAAACTATAAAGCACTTTCCAATGTCTTCGATAATACATTTTAAGATTACGTGGGTCTTACAATAACTAATTATGAAGATTCCATGTGTTTAACCCAAGTATTAGCTTATGTTTAAGGATCTATCATTAAAGACCATCTTGTTGAATTCTTAAGAATGATTGCATTATCAATAGAGAAAGAATCATTAGGCAATTTTTACACATTAGTCCATTGTCCCATAGTGATTGGATCACACAATATCTTTTATAATGAATAATCTGGATCAAATTCAATATGTAATTTTTCTAATAAAGTTTACCATATTTTAATTGTATCATCTCTATAAGCTATAGGAAATGCTCCTAAGTATGCCACAATCCCAGAAGATAATATACAATCACCAACAATTGTTTTAGAATCAACTCTATAATCAGCAGCTTTCTTTTTCCAACTCTCTTTTTCTCCTCCTAATTCAGTAATTAATTTTTCTGCTCTACTCAATTAGATCTTACACTTATTAACCTTAGCCTCTAAATCTTCTTTTTCCTATTTGGCTTTATTATAATCAGCTTCTAATTTAGCCAACATATCAAGTACTTCTTACAAAGCTTCTTGTTTCACTCTCAAAGTTTCTTCAGCCTCTTTTAATTTTGATTCTGCTTCTAACAATTATTATCTCTTCGGATCTACAACCAATAAAGCATCATATGTTTCAACAACAGCACGAACCCATAAACTCAAATTACCTGCTGCAACAGATGCATTAAATACCTTATCTTTCTAGAATAAAGGATTTTATGAAAAAGCTTTTAGTTTATTGATTTTAGCTTAAGGAATCTATCTAATAGAATCATCTCTAAAATCCTTAATTCTTTTTATCAACTTATCATTCAATAAATTCTTTTTAGAATACTCCCAAAAATCTTATACTTTTTCCATCGAACCAGGTTCCTTTGGTTTCCATGGCACATTTTAATCTTCCTAAAAAATGTAACATAAACCTTCCATAACAATAGCAGCAGAAGGAGGAGGCTTAGGAAATGATTTCAATTAAACCATGTCATTCTTATCAATCTTTTCTAAAGCTTCAGCAGCTTGAGCCAATATAGGCAATACTTTATCAAGATCGTTTTAACAATCATTTCTCAAAGCATTTGCTGCATCTCTTTAAACATTACAATCCTTCTCCTCTTGTTGACAAACTTACTTTCTTGCATCAGCCTCTTTTTATTTCTTTTACAAATTAATCAACATTATACTATTATCTTTAGTTGCTTATTCTAATTTGGGCTACAAATCCTCTAATTCTTTTTACATTTTACTAACTTCACTCTCTGTAATAATAATTTTATCAACACCTGCTTCATAACGAGATATCATTTTAGACATATTTTGATCTCTAT